AAGCTTAGAACTAGATCACTTGACACTTTCTCTTATTTCCTCCCAGTTCAAAGTGCTGGCATCTTTTGATGGCCAAGATTCTTTTAGATCTGCAGTTTGGCTCAACATAATCAAGTCCTAACACAATCTTCTTTGTAGTTTTCACCTTTTTCTGAAAAACTGGCTTGGTCGCCCACCACAGCCATTCTGCTTCCTATCGTAACGCCGCCTTTCCTGGGCACACAGAGAATCTTTGTCCTTCTTGTATTGTGTCACTCTGTGTGGTTGCTGCTTGCCACACTTCTTGCAGAAAGACTGGCGAGTTTTTGGGAACACTGACCGTATTTGTAGGAGCCCTATATGCTCAGAAAATGAATTTAGTACTTTTAATTCTTTTCAGATGTGAGAAATGTTATGAAATGTGAAATTTCTTCTTAAACCCTTTTAATTGAAATTAACCACATCAGTAAGGAAAGTAATTCTTCAGAAGTGCATCATTAATGTACTTTGTGGTTTGCAAGCTGTCAGTTCTGACTTGTAGCAACCTTACAGAACACAGAACTGTCCCACAGGGTTTCCAAGGCTGTAATATTTACAGAAAAAGCCCTAGTGGCATAGCAGGTTAAGTGTTGGGCTTTAACCAAAAAGAGAACTATTCAAATTTTGTAGTGGCTCTGCCAGAGAAAAGGCAAATTGTCTTCTCCCTTTGTGTGAAAAAAAAAATTGTTCTTCCAGAAACTATTTGAACATCTACTAGAACTATGTGAAATCTATACCTGGACCAGGAAGCAGTCATCAGAACAGAGCAAGGAAACTACATGGTTCAAAATTGGGAAGGGTGTGTGCCAGGGATGTGTCCTATCTCCATACCTTCCCAATCTATATGAAGAACAGATTATCCAGGAGGCTGAGTTCTCTGAAGAGAAATGTGGCATCAGGATTGGAGATAGATTCATCAACAATCTGTGTTATGCAGATGACACAACCCTGCTTGCTGAAACTGAGGACCTGAAGTGCTTGCTGCAGAAGGTCAAGTAGTGTAGCCATCAATATGGATTGAAGCTCAACATCAAGAAAACAAAGATCCTCACCATGGGGCCAATTGGCAGCATCATGATGGATGGTGAAGGGATTGAGATTGTTAACAGTTTTAGTTTGCTTGGCTACACAATCAACAGTCTTGGTACTAGCAGGAAATTAAAAGATGAATCACATTGGGAAAGTCTGCTCTCAGTGACCTCTCCAGAGTACTGAAGAGCAACTGTGTCAGTTTGGAAACTAAGGTGCATGTGATCCAGGCCATAGTCTTTGCAATTACATGCTATGTATCAGAAAGCTGGACAATGACTAGGGATGATAGGAGGAGAATTGATGCCTTTGAGCTGTGGTGCTGGAGTACTGAATATACTATGGATTGGTAGGAGAACAAACAGGTTCTTCCTAGAGAGGATGAGACCAGGCTGCTCCTTGGAAACAAGGATTCTGAAGTTTCATCTGACATACTTTGGACATGATCCCGCAAAGCAGGATCAGTCCTTGGAGAGGGAAGTTATGCTTGAGAGAGTGGAGGGAGAGCACAAGAGAGGACGACCCTCCACGAGATGGACTGATTCAGTGACTGGGGTAATGCAGGTAGGTGTATCAGAGACAATAAGATTGACACAGAATAGAGCAGGGTTTAGGGCTGTTGCACATAGGGTCACTATGAGTCGCAAGTGAGTTGACGGCACATAACAACAAACACCACCAACCAGAACTTCAGACATTTCTGTCATAAACTAAAACATGATACATCTACGAAGTTATATATTTACAAAACAGCTCTCTTGTAGTAGTCATCCTAAGTACTCAATGTTACACATATATTTCTTTTATCTTTGCAATAGTTAAGGAGTTGCCCTGCCAACTCAAAGGTACATGGTTCGAATCCACAAGCTGCTTCAAGGAAGGAAGATGGGAATCTCCTCTAGTGCAATTTACAACCTCTGAAAACCCACTGGAGGATCAGCTATGAGTTGGCTCCAATGCCATGGCACATAATAAAAATCACGGGGGGGGGGGGGATGCTACCAATACCTACTACTGAATAACTTACCTAACAACGGTGTACAGCAATGTGAAAACTGAGGCTTGGTAAAGTTTGGAGTTTTCATTTTTGAAATGAAACAAGCACACTTAAAGTGTATCACAATTTTCAGTAGAAGTGAACATAGTCCTAACTTTGTTAACATTCACAACAGATACGCTGTGTGCTGGTCAGTATCCTCCCTCCCTCTCCCCACAACTGAAGCACCCATCTCCCCAACTTCTGGGAATCTCAGTGTTGTCCCTGTCTGGAGTTGTCTTCCACCCAAGATTATGCCTTACAGCCATTAACTGACTTCTAGAAGTCTGGGCCCTGCTCTTGATAAGGCACAGCTGCAAGACAACCCAGCTCTGAAACTGACTGAAGTCTTCCTAGTCTGCATCCCAACCCAACCTTCCTCTTCTCCAGTCCTCCTCCCTTCTCTGAGCGGTTGATCCCAAAAGCATTTATATTGACATTTTCTGTACTGTGACCTCCATCATTGGATCTTATTTTCCTGGGAAACTGACTTAAGACATCATAATAAATGCAAACCAAGAAAACCACTTGATTTTCACTTATAGAACTGAATTGTTCCTGCTCAGCTTCTTGGTTTTTTTTATTCTATTTGAAAGAGTTCTGGTAGAAGGTCAGTAGTTCAAGTCTATCAGCAGATGGGCAGTCTCCTCAAAGATGTACAGCCTTGGAAATGTGATTGTGGGTCCCAATTAAGTAAAAATTAATTTAACAGACATAGCTTTTTATTATTTATAGACTGCGTGGAGTGTTTATCATTTCTACTTTTGTCTGATCTTGATATTTTGCTTTCCCCAGTTAACAGAACACACCATTTCCTGAAGTCCACTGCTTCTATACACACACCCATCTTACTACCTAATCACAAAGTTAGGGTCTTAAAAAGAGTTCAACTTCAATTAATATTTTAATTTGTAATCCAAGATGAAGGGTCCCTGGGGGAACAATGCATTATATACTGGGATGCTAAGCCCAAAGTCATGGTTCCAAGATGAAGGGTCCCTGGGGGAACAATGCATTATATACTGGGATGCTAAGCCCAAAGTCATGGTTCAATTCCAAGAGACTCCAAGAAGAAAGGGTAAGCAGTTGCCTCCCATAAAGATTCCCAGCTTCAGAAACCCAGGGGAGGCCAAGGCACTCAAGCTGGACTCGACTTGAAAGCAACAGGTCTGGTTTGGAATCCAAGAAGAGACTGCCTTTCATTATAGTATTGGTGACATTGCAAGGGTTTTAATTTCTTTGTTTTAAAACATCTTCCATGTTCTTGGAACGGTGCTGGCATTTTATGGTTTGGTAGATTATGGATATCTCCATTTCATGTGCATTTATTAGAATTGTGTTGAACTCACTATAAATCACAGAATAACTTCAATGCAACTTTTAAGTTTCTACTTAACATACTCATTTTGGAAAATTTTCTTTAAAATTAATATGTGGTGTTGTTACGTGCTGTCAAGTCACTTGCGACCTATGTATAAACAGCCCTAAACCCTGCTCTATCCTGTGCCAATCTCACTGTCTCCTACACACCTACCCCCATTACCCCAGTCACTGAATCAATTCACCTCAAAGAGGCTCTTCCTCTCCTGCGCCGGCCCTCCCCCATCCCAAACATGATATCCTCCTCTAAGGACTAGTCCCTCTTTGCAACATGCCCAAAGTATGTCAGACAAACCTTCAGAATCCTTGCCTCCAAGGAGCAGCCCAGTTTCACCCTCTACAGGAAGAACCTGTTTGTTCTCCTAGCAGTCCATGGTATATTCAATACTCTTCAACACCACAGCTCAAAGGCATCAATTCTCCTTCTAAAATTTAATATGAATATGGCTTAAAATTTATTTACAAGGTTTGTATGTATTTATAAGGTTTGTATGTGTGTGACTTCATGAAGTCTACCAGAGAGAACTATGCAATGAGATAATAAACTCACCCAAAGATCAATACCCACTACATAGAATGTAATCTTTTCATGCAACAAATATTTGTGTGGTTTTGATACACTAGGTACTGAGGCAGGGAGCAGGAGATTGGCAAACATGTAAGGGAAGATGCAATCCTTGCTTTACTGGAAACTACAGACACTGAATGAGCAATTTTAAGTATGACAGAAGGTCTTTCTAGTTGGACATAAGTTATCTTCACATATTAAGGCAAAATTACATTTTTTTCCATTGTCATCCATAAGAAAGGGCAAAGCTGAAGGGCCAAACCGGCTTTTCATTCAAAGAAGATAAGCTACTTCCAGCACATGCAGGCATGAGATTCATGCAGGCATGAGATTGTAAGCACTTTCAAAAAGTTAAATTTTGTTTTGCCTTCTTCCTTCGTTTATATACATAAATCTGGGAACTTACACCCTAGTTACAAATGATTTAAAATATTTAAGATCTAAATAAAACAGGCAGTTTGGTAGCATGAACAAGTCAATGAATGTGTATCAAACCTTTCATATTCAGAAAATTTAAAAACTGGATTAAAGATTACATACCTTTGAATACATCTTAAAGTAAGTAGCATGATTTAGCGTCAACCAGAAAGAAATACTGGTTTAAAGACATCTTTACACTAGCCCTTTTTATTATCAATGCAACTATTTCTCAACATGGGCCAGTGAGAAACACAGGACAACATAAACCAAAACCTCACTTTCCTTTAACACTGACTTGTTTTCAGGGAGAAACATAACAAAAATGTCATAGCAATGGGACAAGGTGTTGTCTGTTTCAAAAGTGGACATGTGTTCTGTCCCTTGAAAATTTTTGACTCAAATTTTGGAGCAGCTAATCATTTAATGAAATATGCTAGAGGTCTTCTAGTCTAAGAACTTAACTGACCCATTCAGTGACAATAGTCTTAAAAATCACAGTCAACTTGTATGTAAACCAGTAAAAAAGAAAAATTTTATTTAAAAAAAAATATTATAGCTAACTATAGGTCCTCTCTCTCATTGCGTCTTTGGGCTTTGTAAATACGGACATCTTTCCCAGGATCATAGTGAACCTCAATCACAGTAAACTGTCTCTCCAGCATTGCTAAGAAGTTGTTATCCCGTTCATAACGAATTCGGCAAGCTAGCAGAATCACAGCACGGTCACCACAGAGATATCCTAGAGTGTGAAGAAGATCTGTGAATGTTTCTTCTAAATATATGATATCAGCTCCAAGTATCAGGTCAAATTCTCCAGGTGAAAAACTGCCCAGGTTCTGTCCCCAAGTCAGTTCCTTAACAACGGCTCTGGGTTGGATATGGGGAGGTAGGTTGGCTTCAACATTTGATTTAAGGAATTCTAGTGCTACTTTTCGATCCGTGATAGTCACATGAGCACCTGGAATGTGAAACAAAAACAAAGTCAAGTGTACATCAGTAGAACTCATGAAAGGCAGGGAGAGGATCAAGTTAAACAGAGCAGAGCACCAGTGTCTAAACGTTCCTCTGCTAAGTAATGCCCTTCAGGGACAGCTGCAATCGCTCAGGACAGTGGACCTGCAGCTATTTCCACACTGCCTACTGGCAAACGTGACCCCGGGATGTGCCTCTATGACGCACCAGCTGCTTGCTGATGTTGTACTGATGACGGGCAGCATCACCAAGTGACAACAATCGAAGGCTTCTGAATTCTGCAAGCACAGCTGTCTCCGTCCCCACTTCATGGCATTCCTCCTATGTTCTTCAAGGTAGTATGTTTCCAAGTAAACTGGAATCCAAGAATAAGAAATCTGGGAGTAGCCTAATAAATATGGGATTCTCAAAAAAACTCAAGATTCTAAGCCAAAAACAGAGAAAAGATGTTTTCTGGTGTTAAAGCTAAAAGGTAATTAAGGAGGAGATTATCTGGCTTCTAAAAAAATTTTACTCCATCTCTATGCTATCAGGAAATAGCCAACCAATATGTACTTATGTAACATGCATGTAATGATTAAGAAATAATGACCTTCTAAGGCAGTATGAAAGTTTTTGACTGAAATACTAAACAATGTTATTAATGCTAAGTTTTTAAATGCACTGTGCAGAATTTACTGGGGTTTAGTTATGAGGGTCTGTGACTGCTCAGTGATAGCCCTCTCCCATTCTACACAGGTGACTCATGTCTGCTTCCCAGCTGACATAACTTGTGTGAAATCACCACCCGTTTGTCAGAAGGCTGTGTGTTCCTATGATGCTTAGAGGCCTAGAAAAAGGGACCTAGTGAGCCAACCACAAAATCAGCCACGGAGAACCGTACAGATCACAATGGTCCAATCCTGTGGCCAGGTTCCCAGGAGTCAGAAGTCAACTTGATGGTATCGAGTCATTTATTATTAACCCAGTTTTATAGGTTCTTTACCCAGAACTTAATGTCCTTTTTGACTCAACATGGCTTTGAAAAGACTGAACATAAAGTAAACCCTAAAACACCTCATCTGTACCACAGGAACAATCCAGGAAGGTTAAGCCGATTTTGTTTTAGCCCCACCACTCTGTTTCAAAGTTCTACGGTCATGTGCTTGCATCTGCATCAGCCTGTAATCTTTATCGATTATTCTCCCACAGGATTCCAGAGGAGCTGTACTAAGCGGGCACTATCCCAGTGGTAGCTTTTCATGTTCCTGATATGTAGTATCAGGGCAGCACTGAACTCGACATGCGCTATCCTAGAGTGTGGGAACAATGCAAATGTCTGAGCCATTAGACTGCACCTGTGTCCTGGCACCTTCAAGTAGTGTAGTGATGCCAAGGATAAAAGAAGGCTTAAGCCAAGAGTTAGCCTGCAGGAAGGCTTAAGACCTGATCACTTTGCATTCTAAATACACTACTCTGCCAGAGTGAAAACAGCATTTAGAAGACAAAGCAGAGGTAAAAAAGGCCAGGGAGAAGGCAGATGTGACCACACAGGAGGCAGGTGAAAAGAGCCTGACAACCTGAGTTTTTCTCCTGGGTTTCCACCAAACAGCATTTCAGAAAGTATGTTAATCTCCTGGAACTCCAGTGTCACTTGGAAAAACAAATTAAAATGAAAAACACCTACCTACCTTACATGGAGAACAAGAGCTGGGACAGTAGGAGGTGGAAAGGGAAAATGGGAGTAAAAAAACCAGTTAATAGGTGGAATCAGCAGGGCTCAGGAAAGGCTGGAAAACCAAGAGTCAAGATGATGGCTTAGATGTCAACTTGGAACAAAGGAATAAAGAGGAGTTTGGCAAGAGAAGAGTCAGACAAGCAGAAGGGGTGTGCAAAGAGGAAGAAGAGTTGGAGTTTAAACATGGGATTTCTGAGATACTGAGGAGTCAGGAGACACCACTTTTCAGTTACACATATAACTCGGAGATCAGAGAAGATTCACACTAGAATAAAAGAAAAGACAATTTCTTCCTGAGCATATGTATTTTAGGATAGTGTTTTCCAGGAGTGCTGGGTATTAGAATTACCTAGGAAGTTTCTGAAATCCAGATTGCTATCCCAACTTACAGATCCTGGTCTAAAGGATGGGACTGTTTCTAAGACTAGTTGTCAAATCCCAGGAAGGATTCAATACAGTCATATGGGGAGATTTTCAAACTAAAAACCAGAGTTGGTGAATCAGAACTGGATTTAAATTTTAACTTGACAATCTATCATTTGTGTGGATATGGGGAAGTCACTTCACCTCTAACAAGCCTTCCAGCCACCCCCTGGATGCTCTGACTGATCACAAAGGATGGCCACGAGGAAGAGAGATGGCAAATAAATAGTATCCAAAACTAGCAATGATCCACTCACTCACTGCCGATGGATCAGAACCAACTCTTAGCTGACTTTCCAGTAAGTTTTCAAAGGCTGCAAATCACTCAGGAGGAGACTGCTCATCTTTCTAACTGGTGGATTCAACTGCATGCCTTTGGGTTGGCAGTACAGTTCCTTGACACTAGGCCACTGAAGCTCCCCTTATAAATGTTATTGTTAGGTGCCATCGAGTATGACTCACAGTGACCCTAAAAACACCACATCTGAACTCTGTCCTGTTCTGTGCCATCTTCACACTTCCTGTTACATTAGAGCCCTTGCAGCAGTCACTGTGTCAATCCACCCTAGCTAAGGTTCTTCCTCTCCTTCCTTGACTCTCCACCCTTCTAAGCATCATGTCACTCTCCAAAGAATAGCCCCTCCTAGCAACATGCCCAAATTATGTGAAGTGAAGCCTCATCATCCTTGCTTCCAAAGAGCACCGTGGCTGCATCCTTTCAAAGACACACTTGTTTTTTCTTTTGGCCGTCCATGGGCTAGCCAATGCTCTTCTCTAACACCACAGCTCAAAGGCATTAACTCTTCTCTATCATCCCTATCCATTGTTCAGCTAACAGACGCATAGCAAGTGATTGGAAAAACCATGGCCTGAATCAGACGCACCTTAGTCTTCAAACTAACATCATTACTCTTCAATAATTTGGAGAAGTCTCTAACTGCAGACCTTCCCAGTGCAACATGTCTCCTGATTTCCAGACTTCTGGTGCCAATGGTGTTAACTGTGGATCCAAGAAAGATCAAGCTGTTGACAGTTTCAATCTCTTCTCCATTTCATCATGCTGTTGCCTATCAGTCCAGTAGTAAAATCTTTTTCTTGACATTGAGATTCAATCCATATTGAAGGCAGGATTCCTTGATTCTCTGCAATAAGTGTTTCAAGTTCTCTTCACTTTCAGCAAGCAAGGTTATATATCTGTATAATGCAGGTTATTGATGAGTCTCCCTCTGATCCTGATGCTACCTTCCTCCCCAGAGTCAGGCCTCTCAAATAATCTGCTTGACCTACAGACTGAATAGGTATTGAATAGGTATGGAGAAAAAATATAACCCTCATGTATTCGTTTCCTAATTCTAAACATGCAGTGTTCCTCTGCTGTGTCTGCAGAGCCTCTTGATCCAGGTATGTTTTGCGTGAGCAAAATTAAGTGCTCTGTTAACTCACATTCTTCTTAACATCAGCCACAACTTGTCATGATCCACAGTCAAATGAATAGTCAATAAAGCACAAACAGACATTCTTCTAGTATTCCTTACTGTCAGCCAGGATCCATCTGACATCAGCAATGCTATTCTGTGGCCTCTTCTAAACCCTGCTTGAACTTCTAGAAGTTCCCTATATATGTACTATTCTAGCCATTTCTGAATGATCTTCAATGATATTGTTCAACAGTTTCCCCACTCTGTTGGATCACCTTTTTTTATTAATTTCAATGAACATCTACAGAGATTTTGGGACTTCCATTCATTCATTGTTGCACTTTTCTCCCTGCCCACTCCACTCCCACCCCCAGTTCGCTCCTCTCCTTGAAAAGCAAAAGAAAAACTCCTTCATTGGTACACAATCCCCTGCACACCCCCACCTGGATCACCTTTCTTGGGAATAGAAACAAATATGAACTTCTTCAATCCATTGGCCAGACAGCTGTTGTCCAAATTTCCTGGCAAAGGCTGGTGAGCACCTCTGGGGCTGCATCTGTTAATTAAGTCAACTGGTATCCCATCGACTCCTGGGGCCTTATTTTTTGCCAATGCAGCTTCCACTTCTTCATTACCACTGACTCCTACTCATATGGTACTTGCTGAAATTTTTTAGTATCAACCATTTTTTTAAAAAATTTTATTATTTTTGTGTGAGTGGACCGTCAAATCAGATCTGACTGGTACAGGAGGAGATTGTCCCTCCTTCCCCAGCAGATCATCTGGTGGATTCGAACTGTGTGCCTCTGGAATTGTAGTTGCAGCTCCTTGCCACTAGGCCACCAGAGTTCCCCTCATTTTTTTTTTTTTGGTACAGTGATTCTGTGCATTTCCTTCATCTTCTTTTGATGCTTCTGGTTCATTCAATATATTACCCATAGAATTTTTCAACATAGCAAATTGAAGTTTAAATTTGGGTTTCCGTTTTCTCAGCTTGAGAAATGCAGAGTGAGTTGTTCCCCTTTAATTCTTCAATTCCAGCTCTCTGCATATTCCACTGTAATACTTTTAAGTAAATACTTATTGAATAATTATAATACTTACTGAATACTTAATAATTAGCTGTTTTTTTTTTCATTTTAACAAGAAAATTGTTGATGTTCTGCACAATATGAATATATTGCACGTCACATAACCATTAAGGGACACTTTTCTCCAATTTTTCATTATCACGCCCTTAAAACTGGAACATCAACATCCTGACGCAGTGATGTGACTGACTTGTCCACTCCTGGGTCTGTAGCACCCAGAACTCGCATCTTCTAGAGGCTCCCTAAATCCATTAATAGATGACTTTCCAAAACTGGAAAACAGATCAAAAAGACAAACTACCCTTTTACTTTCTCCATTTAAAAAAGATTAACTTTTTCTTACCATCAAGTATCAAGCTCACACTTCTCCAGCCCAACGTTTTGTAACCATTGTAAATAATAAGAAAATCATGTGGAAGGGCAGAGAAGGGTTTCTGATATAAGGTTAAACAAAGCATTATGATACGTTAAATAAAGCCCTATGTGTATATGCTGTTTTCTCAACTATGAAGGAATGTGAGTTCTGCTCTACATCCCTCACAGGCTACGCTGATGCTGTGTTAGACCAAACGGAATCCATCAAATCAGCTGTGACTCACAGTGACTCTACACAGCCCTAGAGGGTTAAAAGAGTTACACAGCTTTGCAGAAGCAAACTCCCTCCTCTTTCTACCATGGATCAACTGATGGGTTCAAAATGCCAAGCTTTTGGTTAGCAGCTAGGTGCTATAACCACAGTGCCACCAGAGTTCCTCTGTAAAATAACCCCCAACCCTTTATTCATAATTTCATTTTTTTAAACTCCTGTTCATACATGAATAAAATCCTTCTCTTTACAATCTAAGTTGCTTTAATATCGTAATAATGACATCAAAGAATTGTGGGGGCCAAAGCAAGCTCCCATGAGAAGTTAACAGGGGGTAAGAGGAGACAGACAGACAGACAGAATGAGGACGACAGACACCCTGACAGCCTCACTGGTGTTAAAAACACCAGGAGTAGGCTCACAACTAATAATATGTAAAAGAGAAAGAAAATAAGCCAGTAAGGGGAAAGCCAGCAAGCAGTGGGTTTTGTATTAAGAAAATAGCAAAAGCGGCTCCTGATGTGTTCCCTCTCTGAGAACAATGCCTCACACTCACCCAGCAGCGCAGCCACTATGCCCACTAGCCCTGTGCCAGCGCCCAGCTCCACAGCTGAACAGCCCTTGAGCTCCACTCCTCCCATCTCCAGGTATGTGGAGAGAACAATGGCCTGTGGGAAAACACAGACAAGAGTGTCAGGAAGGTTCACAGGTGCCTGAAGGGCCGCAGGGCTTGGGTAGGTGGTGCATTGACAGGAAGGAACGAACGAACACACGAACACACACACACACACACACACACACACACACACACACCCCTCCCACTGCAAGGGTCAGTGCTCCACCACACATAGCACACGGGACCCCAGTCTGCCCCTTCAGATCTAACTTCCTTGGGCTCCATCTAAGTCCTGAACAGGACCAAGGCAAAAACTAAACCCACTGCTCACAGTGACCCTACAGGACAGGATAAAACTGTCCAATACAATGTGTAAGGCTAGACATTTTCAGAAGCATACTGTCACATCTTTCTTCTGTGGGGCTGCTAGTGGCTTTGAACCACCAACCTCCTGGATAGCATCTGAGTGCTACCAGGAATCCTTTCCTAATGAGACAATTCAAACTCAAATTCACTGCCATGGAGTCATTTCCAACTCATAGCAACTCTCCACAGAGTTTCTGAGGCTGTAAAACACAATGGGAGGACCCGGCCCATTTCTCTTATGCAGCATCTGGTGGATTTGAACCACTGGGGATGTAGCCCTTTGGTGCAATACCCAGACCTTCCTATCAAATAGGACAGCAGTGACCAGGAACTGCCTACATACAATGGGGTCCTGCAGCTGATGGGGAATTTCATTTCACCCTGTGTCACAGTCCTATTGCATTTAAGTCTCATGCAGCTAAGCTGGAGGAATTTGTATGAACAATTTCTGTGATTCTGTGTAAGAGAATGTCCAGTTCCTAAACCAAGCTCAAGTCAACAAGGCCATATCCTCATCCAGAGGGGGGAAAAAAAAGGAGGGCAACTTTTTTTTTCTCTCTAGATGTGTGCCTACCATTCCTAACACAATAGTGTAAGACAGTACAGGTGGCAAACATTTATTCAGCATTACCAGAGCTCCACTGATTTTCACATATGGGGTAGATGCTGAGGACACATACCACTGTCGTGCATCCAGGAGAAGTGAAAACACAATTACACAGACCCTTCACTTTTCAACTGGGTTAGGTTCCAAAAGCCTAATCTTTAAGCAAAATAGGCATTAAGGAAGCCCTCCCCTCCTCACTGCTCATGGAGATGTGAAGCAACAGATTTCCCTTCCCCACTATGCCTGGCCCAATCTCTCACATCCCTGAGCCTTGCTGGCTAAGAGTGGTCATTAGGTACTGTTTACCATCCAGTGTCTCCTGCCCTGAGCTAGTCCTCCACTGCCCTGGCCCCACAGCTCTGTACCTTTTCCTCTCCCTTCTTCCTGCCTTCTTCCACCTCTCTGGCACTTTGTGGCACTGAACCAGCCTCCCCTGTCCACCTGACCCTGCATCTTTGATCATCATGCAACCTCCAAGGCTACACTGAAACTTCCCTAACAGGAGAAGGACTCCTGCCTTTGGCTGAACAAGGTGCCCAGCCCCAGCCTTAGAAGAATGCCTGAGAATTATTCCAAAGGTGCCTTAAATAAAAATAAAAACCACGGTGTTCATCTGGGACATTAGAATGAAGAGAGAGCTCTAGAAACCTAATCTACAGAGAGCTGCACTGCTAACCCTGCCAAGCCTCTCTGGCAGTTCAAATCCCCCAGCAGCTCTGTGAGAGAAAGATGGACAACTTACTTCTGGTTCAACTGACAGCCTCAAAAACCTGATGAAGGTTCAGCAACAAGCTGGTTCTGACTTGGGCAATGATAAGCTTTTTGATAGTTACTGGATGTCAAAGTGAGGTAGGTGTCTCCAGCTTTCCTTTCACTTAACCTCACCTAGCTTCCAGGTGCTCACCCTTAAACTGAAATCTGTGGTAGGGAAAACAGGTGTGAACGCTGAGGGGGCAATGATAAAGTATTATCAAATCCACTGCGGGGCGAGTTCCATAGCCCTGGAATAAAATAAAACCCACTGGGTCATATGTTGTAAATGGGTGAATTGCATGGTGTGTGAATAATATTTCAACGATGTTTTCATTTGGGGGAAAAATAATAATCACCTAAAAGCCAGTCTTATTATCAAGTGCGGGTGTTTTCGGAGTGAACTTACCGCATCCCAAACCACCGCAGCGACTCCCAGCTGCCTCCAGTCCTGTCGGATCTGGATGGTGTGGCTTGCAAAGGAGAAGGTGGTGACAGGCTTATGGAATTTCTGCAACCCCATCACGGAAGCATCATCGTAGGGCACCAGGGCCATTCTGCCAACGTTCAACTCCTCTTCCTCAAGCCTGTCATACAAGAGTCCACGGTGACGCTGGGACCAGGAAACGCATTCTTCCTAAGTATCTGCAAAGGTTTATTACTTTTAAAGAAAATGCAATACAGAAAGGGCTATCTGGTGACCAACTGGATACAGAGTTGTGCTGTCAACCCCAAGGCGGGCTCACAGTTCTAATTCACCTCTTGCTCGGAGGGAAAAAGATGGGCATCTCTCCTCCATGTGATTTACAGCCTCCGAAACTTGCTCGGGGGCCCACTATGGGCTTCTGACTTGAGAGCAATGAATTCTTGTTGCTTTCATAACTTCTTGCAAGTGAGATTGAGTTCTTAACTCAGGATGTCTTTGGCCAAAAGAGCTCAAACTTGCAACCCCCGCACGATGTTTGTCAGATGCCACAATTCGCTCACTCATTTCTATCAAGTCGAACCGGACTTACAGCTGACCCTCCACTGGGTTTCTGAAGCTGTAAATCCCATAGAAGGGCAATGTCCATTTTTTTCCCTCCCTCAAGGCCGCTGCTGGATTCGAACCATCAGAGAAGAGAAGCTGACTGTGGGTTAGCAGCGCAGTTGTACGGGCCACACTACCACCGCCCAACCATGCGGGCGCCTGGAGGGTGAATCTGCTTCTCTAAATCGGTCACCACGAAGGAACCGAACCTGCTCTCTGTTTGGTCATATCCTGCCGAAGGGCATCAGTCAGATGTTCGATCTCACAGTCGCGGCCTCCGAGTCGCTCCCGGGGAGCCCTCCCCCCGAGCCCCCCCCCCCCCCCCGGTCTGCAGTGCGCCCTTCGTCTCCGCCGGCTCCGGGAACCGGCAGGGACGGCCGTGCGCGGGTCCTGGGGGTCCGGGACGCCCGCCTCGCCTCGGAGTGCAGAGAGCTCCCGGGCCGGGGCCGCTCCAGCCGCTGAGGGTGGGGCGCACCTGCCGGGTCCTTACGGTTCCGCTTTCCCCGCCCCGAGGTCGGCGGCTGAGGAGTGCGGCCTTAAAGGGCCAGGAGCCCGCGCTGCGCGGCAGGAGGAGGGGAAGGTGACGAAGGTGGCAGGGGAGGCGGAGACGGCGGAGGGGGAAGGAGGAGAAGGGGGAGACGGCGGTGG